CCTTTCTCCTACAAATAATAAATAAATCTTTTTTAAAAAGATGCTTAGCATGCTACCTAGCATATTAGTAAAAACTCAACAAAGCCTCTTATTCTGTGTTCTTCGTTATTTTAATCTATTTACATCTGCAGTTTGGGGTTTTTTTTCTTTTGTATAGTTTGCTTTTTCGGTATGTGTTACACCAGTTATACCAACGCCTAGATATTAAATTAAGAGGGGCTGGAAAAGTAGCTCAGCTTTCTTCTTTCCACAAAGGCTGATCAGGTCTTTGAACATCTCCAAATCCTGCTGATTCTTTCTCTACACTGGTTTTTTCATGTTCCTTTCTTTCCATTTTCAATGAGACATCCACAAGTAGGATCTCAAATATGAGACAGAGCTATTATCATTAGCATCCCTAAATCTTATCTAGTCTCTTTTTTGCTTATGTGTTAGCTAATCCTATTTCAGTAGAATAGTGTTCACATTTATTTTTTTTATTGTTTTTAATTTTTTAACATTTTCTTTTTAAGTAATCTCTGTACCCAGTGTGGGACTTGAACTTACAACCCTAAGATCAAGAATCTAATGCTCTACCAACTGTGCCAGCCAGGCACCTGTGTTTACATTTCATTATGGAAATCTTTTACTTTCTTCTCTCCAATTCACTAATGCTTTTTCAACTCATTAGCATCTAATTATAATGTATAAGGCATCTAATGTTTATTTTGTAATTTGAGAATTACTTTTAAGACTAACATTTATCACCAACTATATGCCAGGTACTATTCTAAATGAATTTATAGCCCATTTATTATGTATATAAAGATGCCATTCTGAAGTGTGACTCATAATGAAAATAAGTTATTCTTTGTAGAGAGGAGCATTTTGAACTTTAATTTGCAGTTACCTTTGCTTACTAGATGTGTTATTACATTTTAGGTGGTGGTCGTTATGTGCCAGGGTCTGCCAGTATGGGAACTACCATGGCTGGAGTTGATCCATTTACAGGTACACACTTTTCATTTCTTCTTCTTCTTCCCTTCTCCTTGTCCTTTTTTTTTTACATTTTTAAAATTCATTGAAACTTTTATTTAATGAAAGATTGAGAAAACTGGTATCTTTTTCTTGCTAGAGAACTTTTCATATGGTAGATTAAGACCAAACTTCTTGACCTAGCTTCTTTTTTATTTTTTAAAGATTTTATTTATTTATTTGACAGAGAGAGACACAGCAAGAGAGGGAACACAAGCAGGGGGAGTGGGAGGGGGGAAGTAGGCCCCCCGCCGAGCAGGGAGTCCGATGTAGGGCTTGATCCCAGGACCCCGGGATCATGACCTGAGCTGAAGGTAGACACTTAATGACTGAGCCACCCAGGAGCCCCTTGACCTGGCTTTTAGAATGTTCTCAGAATTGTGTCATACTGCATATGGGACTCATGTAGGAAACTTTAAAAAACCTCATCTCCAGAGAAGCTCACTGAGTCTATTACTGCTCTGGTTTGAGGCCTTGGCAAGTGTAGTTTTCATAATCTTGCAATGTGATTCTAATGTGTAGCCAGGATTGAAAACTGCTATTCTGTCATAGGTCTGGTTTTCTCACTACCCTTATAAAAACTGAGTTTTTTTGCATCTCTCCTTTGTTCATTCTTAATGTATTGAGAATGTTATTCAGGGACGCCTGGGTGGCTCAGTTGGTTAAGCGTCTGCCTTTGGCTCATGTCATGAGCCTGGGGTTCTGGGATTGAGTCCTGCATTGGGCTGCTTGCTCAGCGGGGACCCTACTTCTCTTTGTGCCTCTGCCACTCCCCCTGCTTACATTCTCTCTCTCTCTCTGTCAAAATAAAAATCTTAAAAAAGAGAGAATGTTATTTACTATGCTACATGTTGTTCTGTTTAAGAGGATCCAGAAAAAAAATTGCTTTTCTGATTTAGGCCTATGCTATCTGGCCTTCTGACCAATTAATTTTTCTTTTTTATTCTTAGTATCTTGCCTAGAGTCTGACACATCTTACTTGTTCATCATTGTTGAATATAGGCAGACATGCTTCCCTCTGTATTGACTATTAATAAAATGCAGAACTAAATTTGTGGTTCACCTTTTGCCATATGTTTTCCCCTACTTGTTATTTTCTACAAGAGACTAATATACGTGGAACATATATGTTCTTAACCATAATAAAATATATACTTACGAAGCAGCACTCTGCTTAAGAACTAACTTGGTATGTGATGATTTTTGTAAGCTGTTTTTTCATTGCAAAAGTAACATTGACTGGTGGTATTGAAGTATAACATAATGATTAAGATTGAGGACTCTGGAGTGAGAATGCTTAGATTCAAATCTCTGTTCCACTACTTTTTACGTGTTTTGCCTTGAGCCAGTTATTCTGTTTCTGTGCCTCTACTTTTCTCATTTGTAAAGTTGAAGTAATGTCTACCTCATGGAGTTGTTAAGAGCTTAAAATTAAAATGTGTATAAAGCACTTTATACAGAATAAATGCTTAGTAATTGTTAGCTGTACCTGTTGTATTAGAAAAGAGTCTAAAGTTAACCGTGCTTCCTGTCATTTTTCAGAAGTTATAGTTTTTAACAGTTTGGTGTATATACTGGGCCTTATATACCTTAGTCAAACTTATTGTCATTTCTTACTTAGACAAATGAAGTAATAGCCTCCAAATTGGTCTCTCCATGGTCCATACTGCAGCCAGCGATCATTTTATGGTCGAGCTTTGTTTATACTCCTCCCTTGATTAAAATTCTTTAATGGTTTCCCATTGAATATTTTTTTTGGCTTGTATCACCTTCCTCTCTGCCTTTTTTTCTGCCCAGCCATACTGGCCTGTGTCAGTTTCTTGAGCGTCCCATGCTATTTTCTACCTCAGGAGTTTGGTAGATGCTGTTCTGTTTTAGAATACTTGAGCCCTTTGCTTTGTTATTTATTTATTTATTTATTTATTTATTTTAAAGATTTTATTTATTTATTCATGAGAGGCAGAAGAGAGAGAGAGGGGGAGATAAGCAGACTCCCAAGGAGCAGGGAGCCCGATGCGGGACTCGATCCCAGGACCCTGGTATCATGACCTGAGCCGAAGGCAGACGCTTAACCATCTGAGCCACCCAGGCGCCCCTGCTTTGTTATTTAGATCACAAATTATTGTTTGGCTTTTTCCTCCGTTTTCTTTTTTTATTTAATTTTGTAATATAGTATTTATTAAATGAAATTTTCTGGATGCTCACATATGCCCTTTGCTGGATCACCTACTCTATGATAAGCTCACATTGCACCCTATACTTTTCTTTCTTATTTTACTTAATTGTTTGGACGGTATTTGATTTGCATTCTCCTTACCACAACTAGACTCTGATGACCAGGACTTTAGGCAATGTCTTTTAGCTCATCTTTGATCATATCAATAAATATTTATGCCTTATAAGCAATTAAAATTAATTTTGTGTATTTATCTCATAACTTAATCTTTACCTATCTTATTCCTGTCTCTGATATATTCAGAAAATTAAAATGTTTTATACGTATTTTTGCAAAATACCTTAATTTTTGCATTGGAACAAAAATAAATTAAGATTTGGAATGCAGGTAAAATACAAATTCGGTTTCAATTATACTTTAATTGACTTTAGTCATTATGTATGGTGCTAAATTTTCATCCTGTGCCAGTTGTTTGTGAGACACTGCATTTTGGTTACTATAATAGGGACTTAGGAAATAAAAATGTATAAAAGACTAGGACCTTTTCCCTTCAGGAACCTACATCTTGGGATTTATTGAAATGATGGAGATTATATGGTCTTAGTCTTTCTCTGACTTACTTCACTTAGCATAATACGTTCTCTTGCTCCATCCACATCATTGCAAATGGCAAGATTTCATTCTTTTTTATGGCTGACTAATATTCCATCGTGTGTGTGTGTGTGTTTGTATACACACCACACGTTCCTTATGATTTCACTCATAATGTGGAATTTAAGAAACAAATGAGCAAACGGGAAAAAGAGTCAAACCAAGAAACACTCTTAACCATAGAAAACAAACTGATGGTTACCAGAGGGGAGGTGGGTGGGGGGATGGGTTAAACAGGTGACGGAGATTAAGGAATGTATTGTGATGAGCATCAGGTGATGTATGGAAGTGATGAATCACTATATTGTACACCTGAAACTAATATTACACTTTATGTTAACTGGGATTTGAATAAAAACTTATAAAAATAAATGATGGAGAAAATGACAATGCCTACTATATCATTTGGAATAAGCAGTAAAAGACATGAGAAGAAAGAGACAATATGCCTTAAGATGGGAATGGAAGGTTTCATAATTGTTATGTACTCTCTGATCTTTTAAAACTTTGTAATTTAGGTTGAATCTTAGAAGTATGAGAGATGTAGAGAATATGAAATGGAAAGGCTTTTGTGTTTCATTTAAGCTCCCAGTCCAAAAACTAAAATTTATTATATCAACAAATATAAACCATATATAAAATCTTATGATTTTCTTTTTTCTGAGGTTGTTTTATTGCATGCACTGAGTAGTTACATATCTCAATAATTGTTAAAACAAAGTCATACAATTAGAAGAATCTCAGTTTTGTCTACTTCTTATGACTTTCATCATCTTCTGTTCTGTAAATAGGGAATAGTGCCTACCGATCAGCTGCATCTAAGACAGTGAATATTTATTTCCCTAAAAAAGAGGCTGTTACTTTTGACCAGGCAAACCCTACACAAATATTAGGTAAGTGCATTTTAATTATATAGTTTTCTCACATATCCATAGACTCTTTGCAGTGCACTCAAGACTGTTTCTCCTCCTCACATGAGCTAGGAACTGGGTGCTTACATGATAGAGACTTCTGTTGTGGGATTACACAACTGCGTCGACTACAAATACACAGTCTGATAATGGACCCTTAATACTTTCAAGAAGCCTTATACAAATATAAGGTAAATGCTTTATGATGATTTTAATAAAAAAAAACTAAAAGGGAAAAATAGAAATCCCATTCCCTAAGATCTTAATGTTTTCGGGAAAAAAAATAATGAAAACAAATGAGTAAAGCATTTAAACAATAAAAATTTTCTCTTAAAAAAATTAGTGGCCCTTAGAAATAATAATAAAAGGCTGTTCAAATTGTCCATTAAGAATGAAACTGCTCAATTGACTTTGAATGCTTTTTCTGTTAACTTTTTTCTCTCAAAACAAAATGATAGTTGTGTTTTGGACTGAGAATACTAGCTCTGTTTGCCACTACTACTTCATGAGAATTGAGATAACATATACACCTCAATATAATCCGGGGGGGGGGGTTGGTCAGAATTAACCTTTGTACCACATTTATAAAAATCATTGGTAAGGGGTGCCTGGGTGGCTCAGTCAGTTAACCTTCTGACTCTTGGTTTTGGCTTAGGCCATGATCTCAGGGTTATGAGACAGAGCCTCATGTCGGGCTCCACACTCAGCAGGGAGTCAGCTTGAGATTCTTTCTCTCCGCCAACCCCCCGTCTCTTACTCTGTCTCTAAAATAAATAAATCTTTAAAAAAAATTGTTTCATGAAGTGTGAATATGGTAACAAAAGGCAGTATTTCCATTAAATATGTTTTTAAAGTACTGTGATGTCAAATGTGCATATGGAAATAAGTCAATAAATTAAATATTATAAATAGACATTTAACTCTTCAGTTAATTCATTAACAGTCATAGAAGTTGACATAAGTTGGCTAAAAGTTGTTATAATTTTTTCTTTGAGAAAATAGAGGATTGACCTATACTTGGGTATAATGACATGATATTGCTTTGAAAACCAAAATGATTACAAGTATGATCTACTTTAAAACTTACTTGAAGCAGAAAGTTTCATAAGATCTTAGAAAGTAACAGGTAAAATAAAAATCATCACAGTAGCCTTTCTTTTTCTCTACTGTGCTCAACTATAAACATTCACAGGCCTTATTCTTAATTTATGGTCTTTGATAATTGCCATGAAAAGTCTTAACTTCCCCATGGGGTATGGTGGAATACTCTTATTGAAAATTTTGACATTTTTATATTATATTTGGCTAATTACAGTTAGAGAATTTTGAAAGTTTGGGTTTGGGTTCTAGGTAAACTGAAGGAACTTAATGGAACTGCGCCTGAAGAGAAAAAGTTAACTGAGGATGACTTGATACTTCTTGAAAAGATACTGTCTCTCATATGTAATAGTTCTTCAGAAAAACCCACAGCCCAGCAACTTCAGATTTTGTGGAAAGCTATTAACTGGCCTGAAGGTATGGAAACAGTCTTTAAAATGTAATTAGAAAGCAGTAAGCATATCTTTTCATTTCTGTCAGTATTACTGGTGTTTCTAGATTGAGTAAAAGTTACCCTGGGTAATTGTAATTCATAGTCTTGATTTGGTCACATGCCTCATGAGAATCTGAAGAGAATGTAATGATCCCCACACATGTACCATTTCGTATGCCATTTTATAGCATTTTTGGATCCCCTGCAAACCACCCAAGAACGTTTTGTGACCTATTAACCCCAGGCTACAACCGTTTGCTATAATTATTTTTTTAACTCACTTAATTCCTTTTAAATTCCAAAAGTGTCCTCTCCCTTATTACTTTTTCATGCTATTGATTAGAGAAGAAAAATCATTTGTCCTGCTTAATATCCCATATTGTGAATTTGGCAGATCACTTAATGTGTTCCACTATGTAGTTCCTGCTAAACATAATTAGATTCTGGTTCAGTAGATTTTTTTTTAGATGAATATCCTTTATAAATAATGCTGAATACTACCTTTATATCACAGGGCACATAATTTCTGGATTCTTTACTTTTAGTGATGCTAAGATTATAGAGTGGATTCATTCAGATGGTATCTGCCCATTCCTTTGAATGTAAAGCCCTCCACCAACCTGTAAGCATCCTATTAGCATTTGTCAACTGGAATTCTATTAAAAAAGCTTTCCCTCTTGGGGCGCCTGGGTGGCCCAATCATTTAAGCTCCTGACTCTTGATTTTGGCTCAGGTCATGATCTCAGGGTTGTGAGATCTAGGCCCGAACTGGCCTCTGCACTAGGCGTAGAGCATGCTTAAGATTTTCTCCTCCCTTCCCCTACCCGACTCCCAGTCACACACATGTGCGTGCTCTCTCTTAAAAAAAAAAAAAAAAGGAATACTTTAAAAAAAAAAGCTTTTCCTCTTCAACTCTCTGGTCTTATAGGAACTCTCTGGTCTTACAGGATTTTTAAAGCAAGGTCCCCATCCCATTCATTCCACTAGGATTTATTGAATACTTAATATGTATCAAGCTAGATAATAACCCATTTAAATTATCTTTAAAGCATATATGATCTTGTAGCGATAAAACCAGTCTCTATAAATATGAAAAATTAACAAAAGTTTTAGAAATATACATATTTTGTAAAGCAGGCACATGGTTTTTAACATTTTCTGAAATGGGTCATGTGTTAATGAAAGAAGATTCTTAAAACTGAGTAATAGTCATAGGAATTTTCTGGGTTTTTATAAACATTAATGAATTTTTCTTTTTAATAGATATTGTCTTTCCTGCACTTGACATTCTTCGGTTATCAATTAAACATCCCAGTGTGAATGAGAACTTCTGCAATGAAAAGGAAGGGGCTCAGTTCAGCAGTCATCTTATCAGTCTTCTGAACCCTAAAGGAAAGCCAGCAAACCAGCTGCTTGCTCTGAGGACTTTTTGCAATTGTTTTGTTGGCCAGGCAGGACAAAAGCTCATGATGTCCCAGAGGGAATCACTAATGTCTCATGCAATAGAACTGAAATCAGGGAGCAATAAGAACATTCACATTGCTCTGGCTACACTGACCCTGAACTATTCTGTTTGTTTTCATAAAGACCATAACATTGAAGGGAAAGCTCAATGCTTGTCAGTAATTAGCACAGTCTTGGAAGTTGTACAAGACCTAGAAGCTACTTTTAGACTCCTTGTGGCTCTTGGGACACTTATCAGTGATGATTTAAATGCTGTACAGTTAGCCAAGTCTTTAGGTGTTGATTCTCAAATAAAAAAGTATGCCTCAGTATCAGAACCAGCTAAAGTAAGTGAATGCTGTAGACTTATCCTAAATTTACTGTAACAATGGGGAGGGGGCTGAGATTTTAAATTGATTACTGTTTTTTCTCACGTTTTACATGACTGATTACAGATGGTTAAAAAAAAAGGCTGTGGATTAAGTAAAATTTCAGATCTTGTAAAGTGGGGGGTAAGAGGAGATAAAGAAGAAATAAAATTTTTGCACTGATGAACTGTGAGATTTTCCTGTGTAATGTGGGTAAGTTTTCAGGAGTTTAGAAACAAATTAAGAATGAGCTAAAGTCAACAACACAGTTGCTACAGTGGCATAATGTTCATACCTTTGCCACATAAGATAAGAACATTTATTTATATAATCTGCTTCTACTACTTATATACCCTAAACTGTTACTTAACAGTGATTGTCTTTTATTTAACTTCTGCTCTACTCATTTTCATTGCTGATTCTTTCAACAGCACTGATACATTTCAAGGTCTTATTTTAGCATAAGCACTTTAGAATTTTCAAAAATTAAGTTTGTTATAAATTATTCCATATATCGAAAAGATATAAAATAATTTCTTCATTTAAGTTACTTGTAAATAGAAATTATGTTTGATGGCTTATTCTTAGATGAAGGAAAAGCAACTTACTAAGCTGCATTAGGTTGTGTATCAGTTCAGACAGATGAGACCCCAAATTAACTCCAGGCTTATGATCCATTTTCTTTTGCCCCTCCCTACTTGAGGTAACTTCATTATTCATTCTAGTTTTGATATTAGTTTATTTTTGGTCATTTCCGTTGTCTCAAAGGGAACTTGGAATGTGGTGAATTTTATCAAGCAACTGCAAGCAATAACAATGTTATTGGCAAGTCCAGAGCCTATCATGTAAAAGTAGTATTTTTGAGCTTCTAACATGATCCAGGCACTATGCTAACCACTTTGATATTTAATTTCCAAAACCCCTTAGATGAAGGATGATGGTGTCTCTATTTTCAGAAGTAAATATAATGGGAGGAATCATGATAGGAGAAACAAAGAAAAGTGCATACCATACTATACTTTCTAGAGAGAGGAATCACAAATTTGTCTCTGAACATCCTAGCAATTAACACAAAGGAGGAACCAGCACTTTAATTACATAATTTAATGTGTTTACAAGAACTTGAGCTTCTTAAGAGAAGAACTATTCCTATTTTTAAAAGTGGGAAAGATCTTTTCACAAAGAGCACTTTGCCTAAGATAGTGAGCAGCATTCTCAACATTTATGGTATACAGAACCATCAATTTACTGGCTTAATGACAAATTGCAAAGAACAGTTCTTCCCCAATAAGGGAGGAAGGATTTTTGATCATCTGGATTGATTGAAGGAAAAATTTGGAATATCAAAAAAGAATCGGTAAAATATAAATAGGGGGAATGTGTATTTTGCTGAGTATGAAATTGCAACTTTTTGATGTGTACTCAGACTTTAAAAATTCTGTTGGCTGGCTCCATTAGGAACCTTTGCTTTACTCTTTGTTGAATTGGGATTTAGATGGTTAAGTCAAAGTTTTAAATGGCAAAGTTAAGAGTTTAATCCAGGTCAGCCTGGTTCCATTACAATACATTGCTTTCTTGTTAACATGTCCAGTCTAGCATGCAGTTGTAAGTACAAAGAATTTATCTACAATATTTTGAAATACGAGGTAGAATCTTTGAATGATGGGAGGACATTAAGAACGTGAGTTCACTCTTCAAAATGTAAGGGGTGGCAAATTGTAAACACTGTTTGCTTCGTATAGTGTACAAGTCTTTACAACAACTTTTATAATATCAGTATTTCATGTTTATTGAAGAAAAAATACAAAATACAATTTATCTAAAAAAAAATCCCACTTGAGAAATAAGGGTTATATGATGGTTTTGTGATATTTTAAAGTCTTTCAGTTAACCTTTTTTCCATGGTTCCCTTAATATTTTTTTGTTTATATAAAAACATACATTCATTGAATAAAACACACACATCAAATAAAAATTGCCTGTAATCCCACTACCCAGAGAGAACCATTCTTAACGTCTTGTGGCATATTAGTAGGTGTGTAAATGTGTTGTTTTTGTCTTAAAAGACTGTGATACACATTGTTCAATAACCTGATTTTTAAGCTTGCCATTATATTAGTATGCATACCTCCACCTTAATAAATATAGTACATTATATGGATTTATCCATTTCCTATTATCTGATACTGTTTTCAATTTTCAGCTATCATCAGTGCTCAAACATCCTAAGTGTCTTACTAGTTCCTTAGGCTACATTTTATACATGGAATTGGTGGGCCAAATTAATGCACATTCTTTAGACTTGATACATGCTGTCAAGTCACTTCCAATGGTAAAAGTCTTGGAGTTAATGTCCATATTGCATTTGAAACACAGTTGCTTGCAAGACATGTTATCATTGCCTTGATTTCAGAACTATTAGCCTCCATCTGGCATCACATTTTTTAAATGAGCATGCTTCTGTTGTGATCCCCCCACTCCCCTGCTCTAATCCTGCTACCCCTAGCACCTGGGACTTGCAGTTTATGACTAGATAGCAATTCACTGATCTTTTTACCTACCTCATGTTCCTTGTAAATCATGGAAGAAGCATAGTTAAAAACAGATTCTTCACAAATTCTAGGGATGAGACTGGGACATAGCTTCCTTAGCAGTTATCACTGTGTATCTATGGTTATTGTGTTAAGACATGATAAAATGTATAGATGATCATTTGTGATGTATCATACTTCCTAAAGGTCTTGAGATTTAAATTACTTGAGATTAGGAAGTGCTATTCAATTTTTTTAAAAGTAATTTAAAAAAATTTATAATCTAATTTCTAGTCTATTTTTCTATAGAAAATTATACACAGGGAGTTAGTTTATTTGGGCTGCTACAACAAAAATACCATAGATTGGGTGGCTTAAAAACATTTATTTCTTACCATTCTGGAGGCCAGGAAATCCAAGATGAAGGTGCTGGCATATTTGTTTGATGAGGGTTCTTACATGGCAGAAGGAGGAAGCTCTCTAGGGTCTCCCCATTTCTGAGGATTCCACCCTTCTGACTGGATTATCTCCCAAAGGCCCCATCACACTGGGGATTACATTTCAACATACTGAATTTTGGGGGTGACACATTCAGTCTATAGTACACAGTGTAGTTGTGATTATAAATACAATTTTGAAGATTTTTTTCACTTAACATCATTCCATGTGGTTTTCTTCAATTTTTTTTAATGAAAATGTTCATACATACAGAAGAGTTCAGAGAGTACAGTGAACACTCATGGACTCGCCAACTAAGTTCTACAGTTGTTAACATTTTGCCATATTGGCTTTATCTCTACTCTTGAAATTACAGATACCATACTTATCAACTAAATACTTCAATATGTATCTTAAGAATAAGGACATTTTAAAGACTATTCTTATTTATAACTATCATTGTATTTAAGAGAATCAGTAATTTCATAATATCTAATATCTAGTGCATACTCAAATTTCCTTATTGTCTCAATACCTTTTAACACTTTTTTTTAAGGATCTAATATAAATAATCAAGGTTTATGTATTTATTTGGTTATATATCTCTTTGGTCTCAATCTAGAATGGTTCCTCCATTTTTATTTTCAGTATCATTGACTTTGAAGTGTCTAGGCATTCCAGAATGCAAGGTACCCCAATTTCATATTTGTAAAACATTTCTGTAACTCTTCTGTATTAATTATCTATTGCTGCTTAATAAATTACCCCAAAAGTAAAGTGGCTTAGAACAACACACATTTACTATCTGAAATTTTCTGTGAGTGAGGAATCCTGGCCCAGCTCAGCTGGATCCTCTGTTTCTTTGTTTCACACGCAATCAAGGGTATCAGCCAAGGCTGAGGGCTCGCTCATCTGAGGGCTTGACTGGGGAAGGATGCATTTTCGAGCTCACTTACGTGGTTAGTGTTCAGTTCTTTTCCAGTTGTTGGATTGAGGACTTAAAATCCTAGTTGGCTATTGGCCAGAGGCTGCCCTCAGTTTTTTGTTTGTTTGTTTTGTTTTGTTTTAAGAATATTTTCCAGGGGTGCCTGGATAGCTCAGTCTGCCTTTGGCTCAGGTCATGATCTCAGGGTCCTGAGATCATGCCCTGCATTGGGCTCCTTGCTCAGCAGGGAGCCTGTTTCTCCCTCTGCCTCTGCCCCTCCCCCCACTCATGCTTGTGCTCTCTCTGAAATACATAAAATCTTTTTTAAAAAAATTAAAAAATGTTTTCCCTCCTTTATTTTTTTGTTTTTATTATTTTTTAGTTGGGGGGGAGGGGAAGAGGGAGAGAGAAAATCTTAAGCAGGCTCCACACCCAGCGTGGAGCCCTACATGAGGCTTGATTTCAAGACCGTGGGACCATGACCTGAGCCTAAAGCAAGAGTCAGACACTTAACCAACTGAGCACCTAGGCTTCCCTGCCCTCAGTTTTTTGTTTTATGGGCTTCTCCATCATGGCAAGTAGTTTCATCAAAGCCAGCAAAGGAGAGGGTCTGCTACCAGAAGCAAGGTCAGAACTTTTATAATCTAACCACAAACATGCCACCCACTCAACATCAAGGTATTCTGTTGACTGGAAGCAAGTTACTCAAGGAGAGTGGATTACACAGGCTGTGAATATCAGGAAAAGATCACAGGGAGCCTTCTTAGAATCTACCTGCCATACCTATTTCCTATAAACTAAAAGCTAAATCCAAAGACTTGGTTAGATTAAGATTAAAATATTGTAGCAAGAATACTTCATAGGTGTGTGTACTTTTTTTTTTTTTTTACTAGATTGCATCATATCTGTGCTTCCTTAAAGTTTATGTTCCCCTTACCATAACTAAAGGAGGTTAGGAAGACAAAATGGTGTAATTGGCCTACTGACCATCTTCACAGAGATGGGTGAATATTTTTTAAAAGTTTTTTCATTCTTCTATATTTTATTTTTCTAACTGATTATCAGGTTTTACTTGTTTACTGGTTGCAATTAGAGTGCTTGTTTTCTGGAGGTACTAAGGCAGGATCATGACTTTGAGGGCAACAAGTAAACCACTTTGGTGCCTCTCGTGGAGGAAAAGTCTTTAGAATACAGTGAGTAATGAAAGCTTTAAAGAGGAGAACGCCAACTAATGCCCTTCTGTAAAGTAGGTAGGCTGATACTGGTCCTAGGCCTAATATGAGGTTCTGGG